AAGAACGGCATCGGCAAAAGCGGCAGCAGCTGCAGCAGCTGGCGGATGGGGAAGCGGAATTGCAACAACTGGCGGATGGGGAGGCGGAACAAGCGCAACAGGATGGGGGGACTCCCCCCCCCCAACAATGGAGGAGGAAGAGCCCATCGAAGCCGTCATCGCTCGCGCTGAAGCAGAAGCAGCAGCAGAAGCACAAGGACCATACGGCTCCCCACGTTCCCTCGGAATACCTCTGGGCACCACACCACACAATGATTCCTGGGGGTCTATCCCCGTCCCTCAACACGCCTCCCTAGACTCCACGGACTCACGGCCTCCAACTGACTGCGACCACGTCTTGCCTTACCGCACCTATCCTCACAGCCCTCCCCACACCGAAAGCACCCCCATCGGCCCTTCAGACTCACCTGCTCCTAGCCCCCAAGCAACATTTATCTTACCACCGCATCATCTGCCACATCCTCACCTGCCTGAAGGAACAGCAGGCACAGACGATGTTCCAACACCACTCACAGCCCTCGCTACAGTCGCCCCAACCCCAACAGCTCAAGACTTAATCTTGGCTCTTGGACTCTCCACTTCACCACAACCCATCCAAGACTCCACCGAACGCGACGTTGCTGAACTCATCGCCTTTTACATCCGTTCTCCCACTCTGCGTGCTCAACCTGATCTCTGGCACCGGCGCCCCGGTCACCCCTCACTGGAAGTCCTCAACAACTGCATCCGCGCGCAGGTGTTTCCTCGTGTACCTCTTCTGCGCCCAGACGACACCCAAGTCCCAATCGACACCACTCGCCGTGCTGACTGTGACATCTATCCCAAAGCTACCCTCACACATCAGCTCTTCAAGCTCCTTGAGCCTGGGACCAACCGCTACGAAAAGCTAAAAAAGGTCTACAGCGACTTCCTTGTGCTCACCAAAACAGGACTCAATGGTGAAGAATACACTCTTACCTTCGTCGTCGCTCACTCCCGCTTCGTCTGGGTCGCCAACATCTCTCACAGGCGTAAGGCGTTTGATATCTTCAAGGTCTGGCACGCCAACGCGGAGACTCAGTCCGGCTGCACCCTCAAGCTCAGGCAAACGGATTGCGCAGCTAAATTCAAGAATGTCAAGTTTGCGGCTTACATCAAGGAGAAGGGCATCATGCACAAGCTCTCCCTTCCTTACGCGCATCCCCAGCAAGGCGTCGTGGAGCGCACCAACCGCACCCTTATGACCAAGGTTCGCTCCCTTCTGCGGCAGAGCGACGTCGACGCAAAGTACTGGCCCTATGCCATGCATCTCGCTGTCCGTCTGTACAACTTGCTCAGCACAACCGCCAACGCCGACAACCTCTCCCCTCACCTCAAGTTCACCAACAAGCAAGGCGACATCTCCATGTTCCGCGTCTGGGGATGCATGGTACAGTATCAACCTGCCACGGCGACCACGGGGAAATTCGAACGTCGCGCCCGTTGGGGAGTCTACCTCGGCATCAGCTTTGAGCACCACGCCTGGACCATCCTCGACTATGACACATCCCAGATCGTCGCAGCATGCGATGTCATCTTCTACGAGGTCATCTCCATCCGAAAGTTCCAGTGCGACCGCCACACCGATCGTGTCTGCGGCGAGCATAACATCAGGGATTACGAGCGCCCGCCACGCAGCTTCGCAACACCTAAAGACGAAGCCGCTGCAGCCCTTGCGGACCAGGATCCTACTGACCCCCACCCTGGTCCTCGCCCCTGGAGCGATGAGGACGAGGACGAAAACGGAGCCCCTCTTGACTCCTCTCGCAACTCCCTCCTCAGTCCCACACCCACCAGCAGCAACGACTCCAATGATGACGTGGTGGAGGTCAACAGCGATCAGCGCCACAACCCCGGCCTCTCTGGCCTCCATGTCCTCGGCCTCCACACTGCTGTGTCCCGCCCACCCAAGGCGGTTGAACCCAAAACCCCACGTAAAGCTCTCACCGGCCCATACGCGAAAGAATGGCCGCTGCGATGGATGCTGAAGTGGCCGCGCTTGAAGCTCGTGACACCTGGGTCCTCGCTGATCGAGCTGCCTTGAAGGGGAGACGCGTCCTCTCAGCAAAATGGGTGTTCCGTGTCAAAACAACCGCTGACAGCACCATCGAGCGTTTCAAGGCCCGTTGGGTTGTTCGTGGATTTGACCAACAACACGACGTTTACTTTGATCAAACCTTAGCCCCCGTCAGCCGTCACACTTCCGTCCGCCTTCTCCTTGCCATCGCAGCAGCAAATCATTCTCCCCTCCGCCAAATCGACATCAAAAACGTTTTTCTCTACGCCCCCGTGGATGCGTCAAACAGCCTCACACCTACGGCGTGTCAGAATATCATGCTTGTCTAGCCTGCAGTGGGGTACTCTATAGCGAGTACAACCCTATTAGGGTTTCCTATATGTATCTCAACTGCTGCTAGTGCAAACGCTCCTCCTTTTGCTTAATCTCTCTTGCCTACCTTGCTAGCTATGGCTCCTGCATTCTAACCGCTATTGTGACATGGTAATAGAGCTGTTACGCTCTTGGCCTATGGGCCCACCTGCTTCCGCTGCTTTCCTGTCTGTCGCGCGCCCAGTGGCGCGCGACGCTGCTTTTTCTTCCCGCCACGCGCTCGGGGCGCATGGCGGTTTTCTGCCCGCCGAGCGCTCGGGGCGCTCGGCGGTTTTCTGCTCGCTGTGCGCCCCGAGGCGCGCGGCGGTTTTCTGCCCCGTCAACCCGCGCGTCGCCCCCCGTTGCCCGTCGCAGCGCCTCCGGGGACCCGCGCGTCGCCCTTCGTCGCCCGAAGCGGCCCGCGCGACCTGCGTCAGGCCCGCGCGCGGCCCGTATAGCCCGCGCGCGACCCATGCGGCCTGCGCCAGGCCCGCGCGCGGCTCGTACGGGCTGCGCCCGGCCCGCGGGCGGCCCGTACAGCCCGCGCGCGGTTCGTACGGCCCGCGCCAGGCCCGTGCGCGGCCTGTACAGCCTGCCCCAGCCGTCCCGCTTCAACACGAGCACCGCCCTCGCTGCTGCACGCTCTCCTGCCCCGTGCTGGCCATGTTAGGGTTTGGGGGTGGCGAGTATGGGGGTGATGGGTGTGTGAGCCGTCCCTTGCTCCTCCTCCTACTCCGTCTCCCATTGCTGCAGATGCCGCTGAGGGGGGTGGATGTGTGGGAGCCGCGAGTGTGGCGCTAGGGGGGTGTCGTGGGTGCAGTGCTAGAGGAACAGCAGGGGGTGTGTGAACGGGAGCTTTGGGACAATGGGGGAGGTTGAAGGGGGGTGGCCGCCGTGAAGCCAGCAGCTCCAGTCGCCCGTGAGACCGTTGCGCCAGTCGCCCGTGAGCCCGTCACTCCAGTCGCCCGTAAGCCCGTTGCTCCAGTCGCCCGTGAGCCAGTTGCTCATGCCGCTCGTCTAGCCGCGGAGCCAGTTGCTCTAGTTGCCCGTGTGCCGGTTGCTCTAGTTGCCAGTGTGCCAGTTGCTCCAGTTGCCCGTGTGCCAGTTGCTCCAGTTGCGCCATGTGCCAGCAGCTTCAGCTGCCGCCCACCACGTCCTCTCCTCTCATAGTCCCTCCTCCTCCTCACTTGCCCTCTGTGATAGCCTCTAGTTTTGCTTGTTCTTGTGAACCTGCTCTATGATTGCTTGCTGTGCTGATCATACCCCACTTTGACAATGGGGGTGTGTCAGAATATCATCCTGCAGTGGGGTAATCTATAGCAAGTACAACCCAATTAGGGTTTCCTATATGTATCTCAACTGCTACTAGTGCAAACGCTCCTCCTTTTGCTTATTCTCTCTTGCCTAGCTTGCTAGCTATGGCTCCTGTATTCGAACCGCTATTGTGACACGGCGACGATCGTGTGTGTCACCTCCGGAAATCACTCTACGGCATCAAGCAGGCACCCCGACTCTGGCAGCAGTACCTCCATCAGATCTTGCTTGATATCGGCTTCATTCAGCTGCCACACGACCCTGGCATGCACCGCCTCCACTACAACGGCAACTACATCCTCCTCACGGCGTACGTCGATGATCTCCTCTACACCAGCACCAGCAACGACCTCCTCGCTCAGTTCGAAAAAAACCTTAGCAATTGCGTCGAAATTACCAGCACCGACCAAGTTACCCAGTTCTTGGGCCTCAACATCTCCTACTCCGCTGACGCCATTCACCTATCCGCCTCCAAGTACGCTGAGACACTTGCAACCAAGTTCAACATCACACCCGCCAACCTCTCCACTCCTTACCACAGCCCGGCCATCCCGCATCTTCCCAACACCACACCTCTCAACCCATCTGGTCATCAGCTATAACAGCAGCAGCTCAGCTGTCTTCTGTTCGCGGCAGTCACATGCAGACCTGACTTGTCCTACATCTCGAGCCAACTCACTCAGTATGCCAAGCGGCCTGAAGGGGAGCACATGCTGGATTTACAGCGCGCTCTGCAATACTTCATCTCCACACCGCACATTGGCCTTCTACTGACAGAGTCCGTACCCGACATTACCTAGCAATCTTCCGCTGCTACACTCCGTGCGATCAACCTGAGACGATCCTATAAGACGGTTCAGATTGTATCACCACCAAACTACCCTAGGAAAAGTGGGGTAAACTAGGAAAGTAGCTCTGATACCATGTGTTATGAGTTGTAAAAGAGAGTGCGCAGGTAAACGAATAACGAGACAATGATTGAATGACCTGAGAATACAATAAAGGCACAGACTAATGTAGGAACTAGCCTATCTAGGAGGGAACCTCGGACGAGCGAGGTTGGGTGCAGGTTTGGCGATTTGGGAAAATGCCGAAGGCGACGCGAGGAGCCTCGGCAGCGTTGAAATCGGCCGAACGTGCAAAGTTCGAAAATCGGGCTCTACTCGAAGCAGTCAACCCCGATAAGGAACTGGAGAAAATTCCTTACAAAATGCTTTTTTGCTGTTACTGTTACACTTGGTAAGCTAGGGTAGGGTTAGGTATTTGTACACCCGTAATGTTTACCCATCCCATTTCAACTATGTTTTGTAAGGGACTCCCACGTCTTATTGTTGGGAGATTACGGTATCTTACCAACTGCAATGCTGCTACCGAATTTGTTTTTGGCGGTGATTCAGAATTTCAGAAAAAATCAAAGCTATTGAGATGTACTATGACTGAAACTCACTTCACAAAAAACAATCAAAAGCAAAATTACTTCGGCAACTAATACCACAATCAACAAAAAACAATGAGAAAACAAGAAAACAAGCCATGTACAGCTGATGCCTTGTACCCATGTCATGTCCATGGAAATCTTGCCCCCCTTGTACCTTCCCCATGCTCCCCTCCTTTCCAGAGGCACTCAAGCACGGCTGCTGGTCTCGATGCACACAATTCATGCTCTCAGCCTCTTGGCCCGCTGTGCCCTGTTTAGCAAGAAATTACTGCTGCAAGAGTAGGTAATGGGATGATGGGAGTGGCTGTAGGGACGACGGGACTGGCTGATGAGGGTGGAGTGGCCGATGAGGGTGGAGTGGCTGATGAAGGTGGAGTGGCTGATGAGGGTGGAGTGGCTGATGAAGGTGGAGTGGCTGATGAAGGTGGAGTGGCTGATGAAGGTGGAGTGGCTGATGAGGGTGGAGTGGCTGATGAGGGTGGAGTGGCTGATGAGGGTGGAGTGGCTGATGAAGGTGGAGTGGCTGATGAAGGTGGAGTGGCTGATGAGGGTGGAGTGGCTGATGAGGGTGGAGTGGCTGATGAGGGAGTGTGAGGATCTGGGATCGAGCTCAGAAAAGATGATTCAAATTGAATTGAATGATCACCAGGGTCCAACACGAGGCTATATATAGGCTCGACACAAGGCCCCGTAACCAGGTGTTACGCGAAGGTTCCGCGGGTCGCGAAGCGTCCCGAACAGATCCTTACCGAATCCGGTAGAAGGCAATTCGGTGGCAACCGAAAAGCCAGAATTCGGTGCACGCAACCTAGCTCGGTGCTATAACTATAATAAAATATAGGAAAGCACATAGCCTAGGAAATCAAGCAATTCATGCATGCATATGATTATCCTATGCTAGAAATAGCATGATAAAGTAAAGGCAAGCAAGCATAGTTGGCATAAGCCGTCGTACTCTCACACGTCCCCCCCTCAAAGCTGGGTGGCGTGAGATACACCCTGCTTGACAAGATAGTCCTTGAGAGCACGGCGTGCGTTGCCCATATCAGCTTCTGCAACCCAACTGTCCTCAGTGTGGTCGTATCCCTTCCAGCATATTAGGAACTCGAGAGTCTTGCCACCGCGGCGCCGATGAGAGAGAACGCGCTCGATCTCGTACTCGGGTTCATCCTGTATGAGAACAGGTGGTGGTGGCGGTAGTTGCCGTCCCTGGAACTGTTGGTTGGGGTCCTTCTAGGGCTTCAGTAGCTGGACATGGAAAGCATTGTGAAGCTTCCATGTATCTGGTAAGCGCAAGCGGAATGAAACTGGTGACACCTGTGCCTCAACGAGAAAAGGACCACAGAAGCGAGGCCGGAGTTTGGATGGGAGGTGAGACAGGTTCAAGTTGCGCGTGTCAAGAAGCACCTGATCTCCGACTGCTACTGAGTAATCACGTCGCTGACGATCGGCATACTGCTTCTGGGAGTTCTGCATCGTGGTGAGACGTCGCTGAGTATTCTCCCATAGCTGTTGCATGGTGGTGACGAAGTCATGTGCGGCTTGGACGTATGCCAGTGTGGTTGGCTGCTGTGGTGTGAGTGGTTCCCGTCCGTAACACAGGAAGAAAGGAGTTTTCCCTGTGGCCGCATGTGATGCGTTGTTGTAAGCAAACTCTAGGGTCGGTAACTGTGTGTCCCAGTGGCTGACGTCGTCCTTGCAAGCTGTACGCAGTAACTGTTCAACCACTTGATTGGGTCGCTCTGTCTGTCCGTCAGTCTGGGGGTGGTATGCTGAAGACATTGCAAGCTTTGTCCCCAACAGTCCCATGAACTCCTTCCAGAACTTACTGGTGAATTTTGGGTCTCTGTCTGAGATGAGTGTAGCGGGGATGCCGTGGATGGTGATGATGCGGTCGAAGAAGAGGCGAGCAGTTGCTTCAGCTGTAGCTGTGGCGTTGGTCGGTATGAAGTGACCCATTTTGGAGAACTTATCAATCACCACGAGGATGGAATCATGTCCCCGTGAGGTCGAAGGAAGTCCTGAGATGAAGTCGAGGCTAACGACCTGCCATGGCTGCTCTGGTACGGGTAGAGGCTGAAGTAACCCTGCTTTTTTCTGCTTGCTGCTCTTCATCCGCTGGCACGTGTCGCAAGAGGTGACGAACTGCTGCACGTATACTGCCTTCTCGGACCAGTAGTAATACTTCGCTATCCCTGCTAACGTCTTGTTGCTCCCGAAATGTCCCGCGTAAGGTACGTCGTGAAACTCCTCCAATAGGATCTGCCATAGCGGGGCGTAATTTGGTACCCAAATCTTTTCTGAACCCTTCCTTACAGCTAAGTCCTTCTCCCACTGTAATAGCTTCTTGGTCTGTGCTGTAGCAATCTTTGCGTCCACGGAGTACCCATGTTGGAATAGACCCTTGAGCAGAGGGTTCATCCCGTCGCGCTGGATGCCTGCTACATGTCCGGGGCGGCTCAACGCGTCTGCCTTGTTGTGTAGCCCGGGCTTGTAGACGATGTCACAGTGGAAGTGAGTTTCCAGGAAGTCCACCCACCGCACCTGTTGTCGTGAGAGTGTCGGCTGTGACTTCAGGTATTTGAGACTGCAGTGGTCAGTATAGACTGTAGTCTTGGCTCCCTCTAGGTAACACCTCCACGCCTTGAAGGCTATGACTATCGATAAGGCTTCCTTGTCGTGAATGGGGTAGTTTAGTTTTACTCCGTATCGCTTCTTACTGAGGTAGGCGATGGGCTGCAAACCGCGTCCGTGATCCTGCATCAGTACTGCTCCGACTGCTTGGTCACTAGCGTCTGCTTCCACCACGTAGTCCTTGTCTGGATCCGGCAAGATGAGTACTGGCGCTGTAGGCAGTGCTGTCTGTAGCTGCTCCATGGCTTGCTGATGAAGGGTATCCCATTTGTAGGGCGTATCCTTTTTCAGTAGGTCGGTCAGTGGCGCTGCTATCTTAGCGTATTGCGGCACGAACGTGTTGTAGTAGTTGGCGAAGCCTAGGAACAGCTGTAACTCCTTCACGTTCTCTGGTACTTTCCACTTCTTGACGGCTTCGATCTTCCGTGGGTCCACGTGTACGCCCTCGGCACTCACCATGTGCCCGAGAAAGTGCACCTTCTTCAGGGCGAAGTCGCTCTTTGACAGCTTCACGTAGAACTTGTTGTTTCGCAGGATCTCGAACACCTTCCGCAGGATCTCGAACACCTTCCGCAGATGCTCCACGTGCTCCTTCATGTTCTTGGAGTAGATAAGAATGTCGTCCAGGTACACCACCACGCACTTGTCCAGCAGGGGTCGTAAAATGTGATTCATCTCCGCCTGAAACGTTGCTGGTGCGTTGCAGAGTCCGAACAGCATCACCAAGTATTCGTAGGAGCCGTATCTGGTACGGAACGCTATCTTGTGGACGGAGTTGTGTGCCATCTTGATCTGCCAGTAGCCCGATCTTAGGTCCAGCTTCGAAAATACTGTTGCTCCACGCAGTTGATCGAGTAGGTCGTCTATGCGCGGTATGGGATATTTGTTTTTGACTGTCTGTTTGTTGAGTGCGCGGTAGTCGATGCACATCCGTAAACTACCGTCTGGCTTTGGAGTGAAGAGAACTGGTGCACCGTAGGGAGAGGTGGATGGGCGGATCAGTTGTCTGTCTAGTAGATACTCTATCTGTTTTTTCATGTCTGTCAGTTCAGTCGGACTCAGTCGGTATGGTGCACGTGAGACGGGTTTCGCACCTGGTTCCTCCATGATCTCGTGCTCGTGGGTGCGTGCTGGACGTACGCCCGCAGGTAGGTCGTCGGGCATTATATCCTTGTACTGCTCCAAGACCTCTTTCACTGCTGCAGGTAGCTCGGAACTCGGCTTCTCCTCCTCTGCTGCTGCCATAACCAGTGCTAGGTAACCCGTGTTACTCTCGTTCACCGTCTGTTCGAACCGTGCCAGTGTCGTTTCAGGTACGTCTCCTGTATCCGTCCAGCTTCGCAGCTCCACTCGTTTCCCGTTGTTGTAGATGCACACCTTGCTGTTGACCCAATCGATCTCGGGGTTGAACTGCTTCAGGAAATCTCGCCTCAAGATAAAATCTAATCCCTTGATGTTCGTGATCGACAACGTCGGCTTCCACCTCAACGCCCCTATCTGCAGCTGCAGTGTTGACTTTCCGTGGATGGGAAGCTTCGTACCGTCCACCATCGTTGCTGTAAACTGGGTTTCTTCTTAGGATTCTCCAATTTTCTCCAACGTCCTGCGGTCGCACACCGAGTGGGACGCACCACTATCCACCAGGGCCTGGAGGCGACGCCCGTTGCAGATCACCTCGAGTACTAGTGGTTGCTGCTGCTCCGAGTATCCGTAGATGGTATCGCTTATAGGATCGTAGGGTACGTCGAATATGTTATCCCTAGGTCCTGCGCTCGAAGATGCAGCTTCAGTATCAGTTTTCAACTGAGAAATGTTAGAAGGATCTATCCGAGGCCGATTCGGCTTCTCTTGGGCCTGGAACGTTCCACTAAGCCTTTGCAGCTGTGTAGGCTTCATCTGTGGGGAACATGGAGCCTTTAAACAGTGCTGCTGGGAGAGAATATTAACTCCTCGGAACGCTCGACCCGTATTAGCGCTCTGGAGTAGGGTCCCCATAATACCCGGTACCGGTTTAATTTCTGACTCTCCCTTAATAAAGGCTTGAAACCCACGAGAAGTAATATTCTTACTTGTCAGGGTATACGGCTGGAGTTTCCCGATCGGTGCAGGGTCTTGTTTTGCGGATCCTCCATTAGTCTTGGCGATTTCCCCTGGTGCCGGCTGGTCGTGACGTTTTAAATTTGCGCCACCATATTCTTCTTTTTTCGCCCTCTCCGAAGTTGCCATGTTGTCCGTTTTCTGCTTCGGGGGTGCCGCACTGTTCTTGTCCTTCAGCTCCGCACACCTTCTCTTCATTTTCCAACACGCCAAGATACGATGTCCTATAGCGCCGCAAATTTTGCACGTCTCATTATTTGCTAGCCGCTGCTCCACGTCGCCCTCGTCTTTCTCCATCGGGTCGGCAGTCGTGGGTGGTGCCAATCGCCCCATGCCACTAGTTGGCTTGTTGCGTCGTGTTCCGTATTAGCTACTGTTCAACGTGTCGAACTGTTCGATCAGTGCTGCCGGAACCTGCGCCCACGTCCCCTCGCCTTGGACTATTCTGTTGTTGATCCACTCTAGAGCTGGGCCTCGTAACAGTGTTGCTGCGAGCCGTATGCGCATTGCGTCTTTTGTCGGGGTCGTGCATCCAACGGCTTCGGAATAAATTTCGAGTTCAGCAACAAATCGACGAACGTCGTTCCTTTTTACTGTAGGATCGAACGCCTCCGCTAGCCTCAGCTTCACTGCTTTGAGGTTAACTGTAGCTATTGCCGTTGTCGCATGTAGAATTGTCGGTGTAGCCGCTGCTGCTGCTGCTACTGTTGTCGCTGCTGCTGTGGCGGTTGCCGACTGGTTCGCAAGGAGTTTTTCGAGTCGTGGGAGCGTTGCACGTATTTGCTTATGCTCAGCACGCAACTCCGCGATTTTCTGTACTGAAATATCTCCTTTTCCCTCCATTTGGCGATTTACAGGAAGAT